AATCTAGTTAGGAACATTTGGAATGTTTTTTGCAACTCTTTGAAACTCTCAGTTTCGTTAACTGAAAACTCTCGTTGTTTAAACTTGGTGACGTGTTAAAGTTCACACGGACGGGATGTGTTGACGTGTTAGTGACGTGTTGTTTGACCTCTAATTTAAAAATACCTTCGTTGTGATATAATGTCAGCATTTTCATTAAATTTTGATTCAGTTTAAGTAGGAATAAAATATCATTTTTATCAGCAAGCTTTAAATACCAACCAGAGAGTCTGTAGGTGAGTGAGACAAAATTTGAACGTAATTAAAACTTGCAAATGAAATAATCTCATGCCTTTATTTATCCTAATAGAAAGGTGGTTGGTTTTCCCCAAAAATGTGTTTAGGTGGTGGGATCTTATTGTTCAGGTGTTGGTTAGTTGGTAAGAGGTGACTGACATTTTGATGACCTTAGTAAAAGTAGCATCAGAGTCAGCTTCCTCTAAGGTTGTATAGAAGATCAATCATCAATACCAACAACGTTCCTTCTCAGTAACATTTACTATTGAAATGTGTTAAGAGCATACATGCATGAAACATTTGCCAGAAAGATATTACCAATATTGTTATTTCTCAGTTAATGATGGAAGTGGAAAGTTACCAGCTTACAGAGGACTTACTGATGCAGTGAAGTCAATTGTGAGAACAGCTGGCTTAAAAGGATTATATCAGGTACTTTGATTTGTAAAAAGTATTGCAATACTGGCACAGTTTGTGCATTATTAATTTTGAGGGTTCGCAGCAGTTTTTCTTTTAGCCCTTGAAACCACTTTTGAAATCTGACTATAACTGTCCTTACTGTTCACCATAAATTCTGTTTTTTTTTTCTTATCCTGAGAATGTGGTTAGAAAGCAAGTAATACCTCTTCATTTAAATTGTTTTTCTTCTTATCACTTTTTTTTCTCAACAATGTATTTTTATTCCAAGGAGAATATACCTTTTAATTGTTCCTGGAATGAAATGTTTAAGATCTGCAATGGTTTCATTTTACTTGGTGATGATGGTTTTAAGTTTTAAATGATAGTATTATCATCAATACATCGTTCTATATCTTTTCTATGTCCAAACATGCATTTCTATAATTTATCATATATGAGGCTAACAACTACTAGATACTAATTGGCTGAGATAGAGGCACTCCTACTTAACGATGAGAGATAATTTGCTCATGGATCATGAAGGCATGTTTTCTTGATCCTTGCTGCCTGAATGTGATTAGCAGCAGGTTTCTTTTGGATGGGAAATGAGGATTGGAAGTGCGCCCCGAGTGCAGTTAATCCTAAACAAAAATTAATTTGACATGAAATCACTGGGATGTGTTGTGTTTATTCTCTTTAATTTGTGCCTTATAAAACTTGTGGGTGTCACTTTCATACACAAATTTATCTCTAAGTTAGGTCCTTCCAGTTTTGAGTGTGTAGTTGCAATCTTTACCCATGGGAAAACTGTTTTCCTTGTGTCCAGACTCAATTGTATTTAATGTATCTTTGACTGAGTAATCCACCTAACATGCATTCATCACAAACATTCTTTCCTTCCATCTGAGTCCTCTGTGAATATGTAATCGCATGGGCCTGAAGGCAATTAAAAATTAATTTCATGCATATTTTTAAAGTTTTTCCAAAATTGCCTGAG